CGTTTTCATTTTAGTTCTCAGCTCCGATCGGAATACTGTTCGCGGAATAATTCTACTGCCGCTCTCGAATTATAACTCACTTACGCGTAAATAACGAACATATTAAAATATTCCGTGTTCGTTAAGGCACGCACCGTTCTGTTTAGTAACGCGAGGCGAAGCCAACTGATCGCTCGCTCGAAGATTTTCTTCCAGGAAATCTTTCCTCACTCGGGGGACTATCGTGGTTATCGCGCTCCTGCCTGATTGGGCGGGGATTTTCGTTAATAACTCAATAACCACGCCTTGGGCAACTTTTTCGCAAAGGAAAAAGTTGTTTAAAATCACCTCAGCTCCTCCTCATTTTCGAGCGTAAAGGGAGTTCTGGGACACCCTGTATGTACAATACAAATTACATATGACACACAAAGTATGGCACATGATATATATCATAAAAACTGTTAATAATTGTTGAATAATCTTCTTTTTCTTTTCCAAAATTTTAAAAACTCATTTCGGATTTTTCAGAGCTCCACCTGGTGCCAAAAACGACGCCGAGCATCCTAACCAAAAACGACTTGAAGCAACGTAAGGGCAGTAACTCGAAATCCAGGAAGAAGAATAACGGCAAGAATGGCAGGAGGCTTTATCCAAACTTCGAGGAATTCGATTCCTCGGCTGGAGAAGAAGATTTGGGGACTACCCAAATTCTCTCAGGGAGCACACCTCAAGAGAATAGTCATAAAACCGACAGGCCCAGCCATGTGACATCTTCCACCCCACCTTGGGTCATCATAAGTGCTGCTGATTCGACGAAATTCTTTTCTCTCAAGTTTCTGATTGGTTGCCTTGGGTCTTCATTGATATTGTTAATTTTCATTCAGTAATTAAGTGTCTCGGGATCAGTGATCGATATGGATAGAGGATAGGCACATGCTTTTTAAGCGAAAAGACTTGCAACTTGAAGTGATTGTTAACGCAACTATGGTGGAGGGTAAGGTACTAAAATTTAGTGAATCAATAATATTTGAACTGGTGAGAATATAAATGACATCATATATACGTAAAAAAAATTATTACAAAATAATGTATTACGTTTGCTACAATTTAAGAGTAGGTTGAAAAACAATATTAAATTGGAGGAGTTTTAAGTAATTCATGCATATGAATATGTTTTATATTTATTAACATAAAAAATATTAGGCACAAAATTCTTTATACTTTTGATTTGTACATAATTAAACTGAAGAATAGAATAATTCATAGGAACACTCTTGTTAGGAAGAAAATATTATACAAAAAGAAAGTGCAATGCAGTCGACATTGGTGATTTTGTTAGAAAAAACATTGTAACCAAAACAAATTTAGTACACGAAAATTCATATATAAAATGGAAATGTCTATAACTATTATAATATGTATATACAGTTATGCAGATCTTTTAAGCGGGGTTTGAATGAAACTAAACTTTTTAAACAAGTGAAAGGTATTTTATACACTTGTAACTTTTATATGATTTCTCGTCTGTCTTAAGTATATGTACATTCACTGTTCCACATATGTATAGTCTTACAAGTAATATGTTTTGCAAAATATTTTACTAATCACTACAAACATTAATATTAATCCTAATATCATTGACAATAAATTTCAAAGCACTAAGTACTCGTTCTACCCGGACTTGTATAGCAGGAACATGATGAAGTGCTATTCTTTCAGACACTTGTGAACTACTATAACTCACAATCACAAACCACCGCTTTGATGCGTCAGTTGTAGACACCCATAACAAGGCGTGTAAAGAAATCTCAACATATTTTAGTACCCTTCTCTCCACAATGGTAGCGCTGGTAATCACTTCAATTTCCAAGTCTCTCTTAGCTATCCATATAAATTGTTGCTCGGGACTGATGAAAGAATATTACTTTACTAGAGCAAGAAGAAACATTAAAAAATAGCGACTAGGGAAAATCACTAGGGAAGAGTATCTAGTTTGAACTTTTTTATCTTGGGATGTCAAGGAATTTGAAAGATGTATATTAATTTTAGATGGGATGGAATTGGGGTTTGACATGGACCTGAAAGACGTAGCATGAAGTAGGGTTTTAGACAAGGGAGGACGTACAGTAAGACCATGAACCTGAAGGACGGTGTACGAAGTCCATGGACTCAGCATCGACGGCTGGTTAAGGTTATATTTCTTATTTCGACCACAATATATTCTAGAGGGCGTAAAAAATTGCCAAATTTTTCGATAATTCTTTTGCGAACCCTGGGTTATAATCATAAACGTATACTTAAGGATAGACCGCGAGACCGGGCCGAAAAAGAGAGTAGAAAGAGATAGCTGGCACTGATGGCTCTCTATCCTTGTTTAATCGCGCATGCACTGTATAGCTGGTACTTGGTGGTGGTGGTACATACATGACCGTTCCAACGAGGGATGCCAGAATGTAGGATTTCTCCTCTTCCCGAGCTGTCTCCTACTTCTTTCTTTTGCCCCCACGTACGTTACCCATGATCATTGGGGACATGTCTAATAATGCCATATGTAAGTGGGGAAAGCATATTGAGCATACAGCAGCATACAGTAGTGGGGAGAGCTCGGGAAGAGGAGAAATCCTACATTCTGGCATCCCTGGTTCCAACTATACAGGGTGATTCTCTCGCTAGGGTAGACAAAGGCTGTGCCGCCGTGTAAACATTGTAACCAAAACCCATAGTACTGTAGCCGCTGTGCCATTGGGAGGTGGAGGACGGATGGCTACTGTAACGAGGACGATTGTGTGCGTACATGTGTGAGCTACAGTACTATAGGTTTTGGTTACAAACGGCGGCACGCCTTTGTCTACCCTAACGAGAGAATCACCCTGTATTTGAGTTCACGAGAGAACAGACCATGGACCTGAAGGACGGAATATAAACTGCTTTTAT